AAGCTATATAACATAACTATGGAAAATCACCATCCATAAGTTCGGTAAATCAACGAACTAAATGGGCATTTTCAATAGCAAACTGTTAGTTTACCAAAGGATATATGTGCGGCTGTCAAAACTCCTTGTTCATGAAAAGGACATCAGCATAATTTGGAAAGGTCCCATCGCTAACCACAGTTTCGTAGCAATTCTACCATCATTGCGCAGTATTGATTTACAAGGGGTATCCCTAAGGCTAAACACAGCTGAAGTAGATATTATATTGTATTTGTAGTACCCCCCTGTCAATTAAGGGGTGGGGCTGTGCAACCATTTTGTAGTGAAGAAACGGCTTGCATAGCCTCAAGCTCTACTAAATGGATGCGCATGCATGATCGAATTTCACTACTAAATGTGGGCCCCTGGTTCAGCTGAAGCGCAAAATTTGGATATATTTTCAGAGTGTCTTAAGACACCAACATGACTCGACCAAACACCCTGTTCCATTTAGTAGAGGTACTCATTTGAGCACAAGTTGCGGGACCAACATCACTCGACCAAAACCCCAAAGCCATTTAGTAGAGAAATACACGGGGTCCATTTAGTAGAGAAAACAACATGAAACACATATGACTGATCCCATGACCATCCATTAGTAGAGGCAGCACTTGGCTAAGCAGGGGAAATCTTGATAGATTTTTGACATTTTGGGACTACAAAATGGTGTTCCATAGCACGTAAGGGATAATAGGGCACACAAGGATGCAACAGGGCTTTGTGTGAAACAGTTCTAGATAGACTGATCCCATGACCATCCATTTAGTAAGCACGCGACGAGCAAGAAACACCCAAGCGAGGGATTTGGCCCAAGCGAGGGATTTGGCATCGCCCCCAAAAAAGGCAAGGCAGCACTGTGGGTTGGCCAAACGGTTATCGGGGGCAACGGAATGGGAATCTCTACTAAATGGTTTTTCAGTTTTGTCTCATTTCATTGTGACCGTTTTATGAACTCTACTTCGCAACCTCTACAAAATGGTTCCTGTGATTTTGCAACATTTTTTGACATCTCTACTAAATGGTTTTACCCAAAAAACAACATTTGACATCATATGATTAACATATCATTTTTACCTCTCTACTAAATGTGGATCATGGGTCTAGAGATGTTTACTTGATTTTTTTTTGAAAAAGCATGATTCTCTACTAAATGGTTTCTAGAAATTTCACACTAAATTTTTGGTTCACTTTCCGGGACCTAGGTCATAGCATTTAGTAGTGGAAATTGGCAGGAGGATTTTGTAGTACTATTTATACTTGTATGTACTACTAGTATCTACTAGTATTAGTTGTACCAAGATTTTAGGAGTACTAGAAGTAATAGTAGTAAGAGTAGTACTAAGAAATTGGAAGTACTAGAAATATTAGCAAGGCTAGTAACACAATCCTGGCGATAGTAACAGAAATTCTAATAATTCTACTGATACTACTACTACTACCACTACTACTACTACTACTACTAATACTACTACTACTGTTTCTACTACTACTACTAGTATAGTAGAAATAGTTGTAGCAGCAGCAGCAGCAGTAGTCGTAGTAGAAGTAGTAGTAGTAGTAGCAGCAGCAGTAGTAGTAGTAGTCGGTCCGGAAAAGCAAGCACCCAGAACGCAGTCTAATTGCAGCCATGGCGGTCCGGAAAATGCAGCACCCAAAACGCACTCTGATTGCACCCACTGCGGTCCGAAAAGATACGCAGCGGTCCGGAAATGCAAGCACCCAAAACGCATTCTAATTGCAGCCATTGCGGTCCGGAAAACTTAGCAACCAAAAGGCGATCCAATTGCAGCCAGTGCGATCTGGGACATGAAGCAATATAGAAAAGCAGGTACAGACATCATACTTACTATTTTCTTCCCAAGGTAGCAACATAGCTCACTGGAATCGAGTAGGAAAGCAAACTGCAACAGGGGAAAGGCACGCAACTTAAACATTTTGAGTGTTTCAGACCTGTTTCAGACCTGTTTCAGACCTGCTGTATGCTATCATTATTCCTGACATGGTGCTAGTAGTAGAGGTACCAATGCTTTGACTGGTGGTGGTAGTAGTAGCAGTAGCAGCAGCAGTGGCAGTAGCAGTAGCAGTAGCAGCAGTAGTAGTAGCAGTGGTAGTAGAAACAGTAGTAGCAGTAGTAGTAGAAACAGTAGTAGTAGAAATAGTGATAATAGAAAAAGTAATAGTAGTCGTAGTAGTAATAGTAGTAGTAGTAGTAATAGTAGTAGTAGTAGTAGTATTAGTAGTAGTAGTAGTAGCAGTATTAGCAGTAATAGCAGTAATAGCAGTAGAAGTACTAGTAATAGTAGTAGTAGTAGTAGCAGTAGCAGTAGCAGTAGCAGTAGTCGTAGCAGCAGTAGTAGCAGCAGCAGCAGTAGTAGTAGTAGTAGTGGTAGTAGTAGTAGTAGAAGTAGTAGTAGTAGTAGTAGAAACAGTAGTAGTAGTAGTATTAGTAGTAGTAGTAGTAGAAACAGTAGTAGTAGTATTAGTAGTAGTAGTACTACTACTACTACTACTAGTAGTAGTCGGTCCGGAAAAGCAAGCACCCAAAACGCACTCTAATTGCAGCCATTGCGGTCCGGAAAACTTAGCACCCAAAAGGCGATCCAATTGCAGCCAGTGCGATCTGGGACATGAAGCAATATAGAAAAGCAGGTACAGACATCATACTTACTATTTTCTTTCCAAGGTAGCAACATAGCTCACTGGAATCGAGTAGGAAAGCAAATGGCAACAGGGGAAAGAAAGGCACGCAACTGAAACATTTTGAGTGTTTCAGACCTGTTTCAGACCTGTTTCAGACCTGTTTCAGACCTGTTTCAGACCTGTTTCAGACCTGTTTCAGACCTGTTTCAGACCTGGTGTATGCTATCATTATTCCTGACATGGTGCTAGTAGTAGAGGTGCCAATGCTTTGACTGGTGGTGGTAGTAGTAGTAGTAGTAGTAGTACCAGCAACAGTGGCAGTAGCAGTAGCAGTAGCAGCAGTAGTAGTAGTAGAAATAGTGACAATAGAAAAAGTAGTAGTAGTAGTAGTAGTAGTAGTAGTAGTAGTAGTAGTAGTAGTAATCGGTCCGGAAAAGCAAGCACCCAAAACGCACTCTAATTGCAGCCATTGCGGTCCGGAAAACTTAGCACCCAAAAGGCGATCCAATTGCAGCCAGTGCGATCTGGGACATGAAGCAATATAGAAAAGCAGGTACAGACATCATACTTACTATTTTCTTTCCAAGGTAGCAACATAGCTCACTGGAATCGAGTAGGAAAGCAAATTGCAACAGGGGAAAGGCACGCAACTTAAACATTTTGAGTGTTTCAGACCTGTTTCAGACCTGTTTCAGACCTGTTGTATGCTATCATTATTCCTGACATGGTGCTAGTAGTAGAGGTACCAATGCTTTGACTGGTGGTGGTAGTAGTAGTAGTACCAGTAACAGTGGCAGTAGCAGTAGCAGTAGGAGCAGTAGTAATAGTAGAAATAGTGATAATAGAAAAAGTAGTAGTCGTAGTAGTCGTAGTAGTAGTAGTAGTAGTAGTAGTAGAAGTAGTAGAAGTAGTAGTAGTAGTAGTAATCGGTCCGGAAAAGCAAGCACCCAAAACGCACTCTAATTGCAGCCATTGCGGTCCGGAAAACTTAGCACCCAAAAGGCGATCCAATTGCAGCCAGTGCGATCTGGGACATGAAGCAATATAGAAAAGCAGGTACAGACATCATACTTACTATTTTCTTTCCAAGGTAGCAACATAGCTCACTGGAATCGAGTAGGAAAGCAAATTGCAACAGGGGAAAGGCACGCAACTTAAACATTTTGAGTGTTTCAGACCTGTTTCAGACCTGTTTCAGACCTGTTTCAGACCTGTTGTATGCTATCATTATTCCTGACATGGTGCTAGTAGTAGAGGTACCAATGCTTTGACTGGTGGTGGTAGTAGTAGTAGTACCAGCAACAGTGGCAGTAGCAGTAGCAGTAGGAGCAGTAGTAGTAGTAGAAATAGTGATAATAGAAAAAGTAGTAGTCGTAGTAGTCGTAGTAGTAGTAGTAGTAGTAATAGTAGTAGCAGTAGCAGTAGCAGTAGCAGCAGCAGCAGCAGTAATAGTAGTAGTAGTAGTAGTAGTAGTAGTAGGTGCCGTAGTCGTCGTAGTGTAGTAGTAGTAGTAGTAGCAGCAGGAGTAGTAGGAGTAGTAGTAGTGGCGTGTCTGATTGGAAGGTGTTGCTCTTGTTTCTGTTCTTGGTTTGTACTTGTTTCTGTTCTTGGCTTGTACTTGTTCCTTTGTTCTCTTGCTGCGCGTTTTTGCTTCGTCTGAATCAAGGTCACCCCCCCCGTCCCATAGGTACAGCTCAGAAACAAAACCAATACATGCCCAGGATTTGCAATTACTGAGGTATGGATCATGGGTATGGATCATAGGTATGGATCGTGTCCTCTAAAGGGGTATGGATCATGGGTATGGATCATAGGGTATGGATCGCATGTGGTACCGGGGTATGGATCGGAACCTTACATTTTGAGCCGCAGCCAAATATAATTATTAACTATTGAATTCAACATGGGGTATCGCTATTTGGAAAGGTCCCATCGCTAACCTCAGATTTTTGCACTTTCTGAAAACCAATGTCCAGCCAATACATATTTTAGTATCCGCGAGTTTTGACGGTTGCTCATATGCCATTATCATCCCATTATCATCCCACTTTTGACCCACTATTAACCCACTACTAATCCATTACCAGAGGGTAATGAACAATTTTCAGGAATGGACAACAAAAAAGTACCATCTGGTGATTCAAAATAGGCCCGTTTGTAGATGAAAGAAGTGATGCTTTACCTGGCAATTGTGCACAAGAGGAACAAGGCCAGCCAGCAAAGACCTTGGTTTGACACAGCCACAGACATCGAAACGTAATAGCATGCGGACAACACTGACTCGCACGGCACGGATTTCAGATAAACCTACGGACGCAAGATCATCTTTCTACAAGCGGCCTGTCGGGCTGAATGGCCAAGTCCTTGCGCACAACCTCTGGCAAAGCATCTTCTGCTTCACGCTCCAAGCATCGCCGCACCCGCTCACTGTCTGGTGTCCCATCCAGCACGGTTGGAGCAACATCAGCAGAAGGCGATGCCTGCGGACGTGCTTGCAGGGGTGTGCGGCTGCGGTTCCATGCCGCCTTGACGAGGGGTGTGTGGCTGCTGTTCCATATGGCGCCTGACAGGTGAATTTACAAGTAAGAGTTCGAGAAGCTTTGAAGCCAAGAAGATCCTGCAGTATACCAGGAGCGCGTGGACAAGGTTGCAGACAGCAGAGGGGTGCCGAATGCGGCTTGGCTCACAGATTCACTGCTCAAGTCTCTAGTTCGTCTCTGACGCAAGGCAGCCCATCCTTTTGACCATCGGAACACACTACCTCGCAAGCGCCTTCCATACCTGCCACTATGCGCAATGGAATCACGTTTCTTATGGTTTCTTCCTGCTTGACTATGAGCAATCACTGAGGAGCAATGTGAGACGGCGCTGCCTCAATCCAGACAGTCTTCAATGGGATCCTCACTGCCTGCCATCGAATGTCTATGTACGGGCAGCCTATGAAAACCTGCAGATTCCACAGCGGCCTGCATCTCCTGTCTCCACCTGCCGTCTGGGCTCGATCTTCCGTAAGCCTGCAGCAGGTTTCATCGCTCTTCCCCTTAGCCCTATCTGCCTCAAACCACTGTGATTCGATCATACTGGCACCAACGGGCTCCAGCCGGGCGGGGACCTACCTCTAAACCACGCGTAAGGGCTCGAGCACCTGTCACCTGGCACGCACGACAAAACACATTGTTGCGCATACCCGGGCATACCCTGTGTGCGCGCCAGGCCTGCACATGTCTCGTCAGCTTTCCCTGTTGCACGGCTTTCTGACGTTCCTCCTGCAGCCTCTTTTTCCATATGTCCTTTTCTTTTCCTCTCTGTTCTCTTCGGCTTCTGACCTGCACGTCGTGTTTGGTCATGTCCTCTGACGACATCTGACCGGCGGACATATCGCATTCCCATCGGACCTTTGCTCTTCACCTGGCTACACCTGAAGCACACGACGCTGCCGTAATCTTCTCTCACCCAGAATCTCCACCTAAATTAACATGTCCTCACATGGCGCCTGCGCCCCGTGTCCGACGTCGATTGCCATGGCCACTGCCTGCAGCTTCACGCGCACTTGCCGCCGCAGCCTCGCTCGGCATCTTCGGCTCCCACATCCCGCCTGCCACACAGAGACCAGCAGCGACTCAGAACTGACTGGCACACTTGATACCTTCCTGCCTTGCAAATCCCGCTTCCACACTCTCCGAATCTAACTCCGTCGCAGCGACACCTGGGCGCCGACGAAATGGCCCACCAGCCACCGGTGGTCTGGCACCAACCAGCATTCCCGCCTCCTTCTGCGTCCGATGTCCCTGCCTCCGCACCTGCAGCATGCACACCAGAAGCCTCCTGAACATCGTTTTGAAGCATGTATACCTGACAGAGCAAGAGGCAGAAGCTAGCTATCTGCTGTGAGCCGGCATTCATGCAGCACAACATGACACGAATGCAAAGGCTACCCGCGATATGAGCACTTGTTTTCATGGTGATGTTCTTTAGTTTTGTAAACGTTTACCAGAGGGTATCAGGCACCATGTTTTTAAGCTAGTTTTTCATGTTTGTCGCAACATATGGACCCTCAAATCCCCGCTGATTAAATCATCAAATTCCAATTTTCTTTGATAGCCATAGATTCCTCATGCTGAGACAAGCCTATCTTTGAACTGCTGATGTTCCATATGTGTATACTGTAAATATATATATATAATTATATAATATTATATATATATACATTAAATATTTATATACAGTTACATATTTCAAGAATCTTGCAACTTAAAGCGCCCGGATAATAAACCCAGCACGGCAAAGCACAGTTTACATTGGTTCATCCCGACCAACCCATAGCGAGATTGACGCGCATCATGTCTAGTTGGTTGTGCAATAAACCATCTTGAAACATATGAGTTCGTCAATGGGAAGGACTATCCCGTATATGAATTGAAAAAAAAGTTCCAAACCACCAGCCAGCCAATTATTGTAGGCTAGTATGTAATTCACTGTTCGCAATTTGGGGTGTAGATCCGTTAGGTTTAGATCCGCTACCTTTCAAATATCAAAAAAACAAAAAAAACAGAAGTTCATGTCTCACTGTGGTATCACCAAGAGGCAGCAATGAAGCAAAAGAAACTGCGGGCATGAACCGTTTTTCCCTATCAAAGCAATGCGATTTTTTCGGGGGAAGCCGTTGATTTGAACAATGGCAAGCACTCTAATGACAAGTGATCCCTGTCAGTTCAAACTGACGATTGAAGGTTCTGAATGTAGCAGCAGGCATGATCTCGGCTCAATTGACACTGACCTTAAGCCCATGCAACAATAGACACCGGCAACTTCAATGCCAAGTAATGACAACTTTTCGCACCTGTAATTATATGCAAGAACATCACCCCTTGAGACCCCTGCTGGCCCATTGTGAAACATTTTGAGACATTTTGAAACATTTTGAGACATTTTGGGCAATTTTGAGCAGTTTTGAGCAAATTTGAGCAGTTCTGAGCAATTTTGACGACTTTTGAGCAGTTTTTAGCAGTTTTTTCGGGCCAGCTTAGATCATGTCGACCAATTTTGAGCATCTTTGTCGGGCAAGTTTGGGTCATGTCGAGCAATTCTGAACAATTTTTGGAAGCATGATATGGCATTGTTGACCTTGGACAGTGTTCAAAATGGCTCAATTGAGGCTGCTTTGAGACATCTTACTTTGGCTGAAAAAAGTAGCTGATGTAAACCCCATCGAGACCCTAAATTGAGATCAGTGAGTAATCCATAAACTAGACGACCAAGAGGGTTTTCCCAACATTGCTATTATTGCTGGCTATTACTATGTGGCCCCCCAGTTATTAAATGGTTTATAAGCCCATTAACATCCATTAACGATAGTTATAAGTACGAGAAACATTGATAAACCATACTTATTTGAATTATTTGCACCAACTTAGCTATCGTAAACGGGAAGGCCACACTGTATACATCCCATTTTCTTCCCAATAATTTTAAAAGCCTAAATGGATTCCCTATAGAAGTCCCTCTAATGGATCCAAATGGTGGATTTCCCATTCGGAAAATAAACCATCACCTTGAGCAAACCCTGGATAGCCCCCAATATACTTGTATAATCCCCGAACTAGTCATCAAGCATCAACCATCACCAACCCACATTTACATGCATTTACCAGTTGTATCCACTTAATGCCCATATTTTCATGGCTGAACCCCCTATGTTTTTTTTCTGACCAAAGTATGGTGCAGCTCCGGTGGTTCGGCCAAGATCATTGGCTTGTGATCTGGTGCAGTGGATCTGCTTCGAGTGAAGGGATGTCAACCATCAGAGCACTCCAAGCCGTTGGGCGTATCGCAAGGCCCCCACCTGCACCAGGGGTAACTCTGTATCCGTGGCGGTAGTGCCCCGGGCCGCCCGCCGCAGAAGGCGCGCGGGCAAAGGCCGCCACGACAGTTCCTGCTGGATAACTCACACGGATGTGATGCAAACACATGCTACATCAGCATCAGGCGCTAAGTTTGAGTGTCTGTACTCAGGTCTTGGGTTCGGTGAACGTTCCAGGAACTTATTGTGACATTCATCCCGTCTGATGTTCACCAGACCCAAAAAGGTAACTCGGCGATTCTTTTCATGGTGTCAATAACAAATTCATCACCCCTACGTGGTAGATCTTGGTACTTCATCCCACTTAGTAAGTTATGACCCTGGTGATACAGTAAATGGGCCTTGGTAGGGGCAATGTTCACTATGTTCACTTATCACTTTGGCTGTAACTATAACCCACTTACGAGTCCTGGGATGAACCAGCAAGTACACTATAGTAAACTAACATAGCTATATGGATCTTTATATCGGTAAATCATTTATAAATGGTCCATTTTCCAAAGCTAAATGTTAGTTTACCAGTGGGTAAATCCCATGAAATAGCACATTAATCCACCAAATTATCAATGATTCACCATGATTCAGCACGATTTCCCTAATCCCCTGAATCCTACAAGGTGGTACTCCCCAGTTATGAATGGGTTATAATTTCATTAACTATAGATATATCACCTATATAAACCATAGTTATTAGAGTTATGTTCACCAACTTAGCTATCATAAATCAGCTATAATTCAATTAATATAGATATATCATGATATATCTATCATAAGCCATAGTTATTGGACTATTGGTATTATGGACTTATTTGCACCAACTTAGCGTTCACGAACTGGGGCACCACCTTGTATTGATGATGTCCCCTATCATCCGCCTCCGTCATGGAGGACAGCCGGGCGAAAAGGAGATCGATCTCCACGCTCGACAGCTTCATCTGGCGTTTCGACCAAGGGTGACCAAGGGCGACGAAAACGGCCGTGATGCGGTCATGGCTGGGAAATGTGCCAAACATGGGAAAATCTGTGGAAAATCAGATAGAAACGTTTTATCCCACTATCTAATGATATCTATCATGGGAAAATCCACTATCTAATGATATCTATAATGCCTGGAGATGGAGGTTTTAATGGAAGCACACATATGGGAAAACCAGATAGAAACGTTTATAATTTATGGAAAATCCTTGAACTAAACGGAGCTTCAAACAGGAACATCATGTGAAATCATTCGACTAAATGGGTGATTATTTAGTTAACAAAGGGTACTTAGGCTTAATTGTTGGTTAATGATTCATGGTTGACACTGGACATATACTAGGTTGTCTTCAGACTAGTAGCCTCTCCCATGATATGGAAATTGTTCAGGCTTCCTAAGTCATGGGGGTACCCCCAAATCATCCACGTCATTAGACTAGTTTAGCAAAAAAATATCTATGCGTTTTGGGGATTCCCCCATTAAACAAAAAAAACATATGAAATGCCTAGCATAAACCACCGTAAACCTAGTTATAAAATGTTATAAACCAACTCAGCTATCGTGTCTTGTCACTGTTTTTTGCAGGGTGGTTAACCATGATTTGATGATGCCCCACATCATTTTTTCTTGGTTAATGTAGCCTGCCAAGTACTTGTAACTGTTCTGATTGGTGGATGATTGAATAGCTATTAACTCTCCATTTCATCAGATAAATAACCTTTCACTATTAATAAATCATGATGGGTGGATGGTTGCCAAATCCTGCACCACTTGGCTTGTTACTCATTGTTTATCCCATGATAGTCCCATTATATCACCAGCAAAACAAACATCCTTTTGGTGATTTCTGGCTTTCGCAACCATCCACAGTTCAACAAATCACATTAAATCATAATTTCCCAATAAATCACCATTAATTTCCATAGAAATCCCCATGAAATCACCTTTTTTCAAGCTCCTGAAATCGCTGTTCACCTTGATGATGGGCGTGTAGGCGTCCGGCACCGGCGTGACGTCTGTGACCTCCGGATGCTCCTGACGAGCGATTTTAGCGGCTCCTCTTTTTGCGGAAAATTATGGTTTTATGAGGTTTTATAACTGCTTGGTGGTTGACCTACCCCTCTGAAAAATATGAAAGTCAGTTGGGATGATGACATTCCCAACTGAATGCAAAAATAAAATTCATGTTCCAAACCACCAACCAGTATAAGGTTTTACAGCTGATATCAGGTGATAATGATTGAAAAAATAAATTATATATCATGGGATATAATTGGGAATATCACTGGGGATGTACAGTAATTGGTTCTATGGGATAAACATGCGATAGAACAGGATAGAACTGAGGATATAATTAGGGATGCAAGTTGTTTTTTGGTTGGTAATCTATAAATCAATCGGATACAAGTAGGGATATATTGGGATACCTCAAGAACATTAGTTCAATATGATTTAATGGGATAGATTCATTCAACAATGAGACATCACACTGGGGATAAATGTTCGAATTCCACTGGTTAAGGTGACTAATTGACGATGATGTTCATAGCCAATGCCCCAAACATCCAAACAATTAAGGGCCACCTCATGTGGATATTCACCATCATAAACTACTCAGGTGTGGGAGATGACTGGCTATTGTAGAAATGCCAATTGCCAAAAATTGCCAATACTTGGATACTATCACCTACCATTGAGGTGAGAACCAATGTTGGCCCGATCGCAAGAGGGATTGAGAGGGGTCCCGGAAAGACACACAAGTTTTCCCACGATTTTACCTGGTTGGTGGTTTGAACCCCTCTGAAAAACAATTAGTTAAATGGGAAGGATGACATCCCATATATGAAATGGACAATCAAAAATGTTTGAAACCACCAACCAGTTGCAGATGGGCAGAACCCCCTACTTTCCAGCTTTCTGGAGGTTGTCATTTACTGGTGACATCGCAACCTGTGTTGAGACCATTTGGATCCGCAGAACCAAAAAGGCCAAACACGGCCTTCTTAACGGGTTTAACGGATACGGTGTCCAAGAAAACGCCTAAAAAATACAATTCGGCATTAGGCGCAAACATCTTCCACCAGCAATTGGTGGATATCAAGCCATCCGCTGGGATCATCCCATACCACCCCGGCCTCTACAGGTGGGTCATTCTTGGGACATCATTTTTGGGGTGCCTTAGTCTTAATGGTCCCAATGGTCCCAATGTGCCCAATGGTTGATTCTCAACATCATCTTAATCCATGGTCCGGTTCCCCCCAAGATCAAGCAAGCCAAAGAACAGCTGGAATTGGCACTAGCATCATATATTCCATGCTTTGAAATGCGGCCCCTCAAGATAAAGGCACCGAACCAGCCAGCGTTTCACTTACTACGGATGGCTTGCAGACTTGGACACCGTGTCTCATCCATATGAAATCAAAGGCACTTTTGGTTATGCATGGGAAATCTGATTGGTGGTTGACCTACCCCTCTGAAAAATGATGGACTTCGTCAGTTGGGATGATGACAATCCCAACTGAATGGGAAAAATGGAAGTAATGTTCCAAACCACCAATCAGAATCACCATTCATCATTATTATCCATTATTAACCATTAACCCATTAAGGCACTTTTGGTTACGCATGGGAAATTGTAATGGTCACATCTATCAATCCAATGTATGAATGCTTATGAATGTATCTTTGAAGTCGTGAACTGTTCGACACACACTGAAGCAGCTTCTTCTTTTGAGCAGTCGCCTCCGTCTCAGTGCCAGCTCTGAAAATTCGATCTTATGAACCTGCAATCATGGAGCTCGTTCTTGACTCAGGTATGCAGTAAAACATCGCATTAAACAAGGATTACCATCTGATTATTTAACATAGCCATGGAACATCCCTTATACATGGAGGTTTCTAGCTGGGAAAATCATCTATTTCTATGGGCCATCTATACCATGGCTATGTCAAATAACCAGATCTAGAGTGTATAGCCCATTGGTAAACTAACATAACTATGGAAAATCACCATTTTAATTGGTAAATCCACTGTAAATGGCCATTTTCAATAGCTAACCGTTAAATAACCAGATGGTAAAATGTGGTTTTGCTGATGAATCGCCTTGATCCTTGAGTCCTGAAATTCGCCCAGCCCGTCCCCATCATCTCCAAGATCCGCCCAGCTGCCCAGCTGCCGGTCCTGCAACTTCGGAACCAGAGCCTGAGGCACGACACTCACAGTCCCGTAGAAAAACATTGGCCGGGTATATTATGTAATCACCAAAAGGGTGATGGAATTCACCCATTTCAATCCATTTCATGGGTGTCTTTTTGTCAAAAATCCTGGCAGCAATTTTGTCAATTGCCATATATTTATCAGTTTGCTGCACACAGCTTATACACAACTTGCCAGGCTGTTGTGATTGATGGATGATTCATTTGGGCCAAATACCTCCTGTGATTTCAACAGCAAGTCCAAAGTCAAAGGATCACACAGATTTCTACGCTGACTGAGAGATGACTTTCCATGGCATTTTCACTTCAAGACAGTCAAGACACCTTAAACTGAAGGGCTGGGGCTAACTCGAGGCATCTTGGGTCTGTGTGTTGGCAACCTACTACCGCACTTGGAGCAACAATGTGGACTCCAGACTGCAGGGCTGGATGTCTTGGGTCTGTATGTTGGCAACCTACGGGCTGGGGCTAACTTGAGGCATCTTGGGTCTGTATGTTGGCAACCTACTACTGCACTTGGAGGCAACAATGTGGGCTTTAAACTGCAGGGCTGGGGCCAACTTGAGGCATCTTGGGTCTGTATGTCGGCAACCTACAGCACTTGGAGGCAACAATGTGGGCTTTAAACTGCAGGGCTGGGGCTAACTTGAGGCATCTTGGTTCTGTATGTCGGCAACCTACAGCACTTGGAGGCAACAATGTGGGCTTTAAACTGCAGGGCTGGGGCTAACTAAGGCATCTTGGTTCTGTATGTCGGCAACCTACAGCACTTGGAGGCAACAATGTGGGCTTTAAACTGCAGGGCTGGGGCTAACTAAGGCATCTTGGTTCTGTATGTCGGCAACCTACAGCACTTGGAGGCAACAATGTGGGCTTTAAACTGCAGGGCTGGGGCTAACTTGAGGCATCTTGGTTCTGTATGTCGGTAACCTACAGCACTTGGAGGCAACAATGTGGGCTTTAAACTGCAGGGCTGGGACTAACTTCAGGCATCTTGGTTCTGTATGTCGGCAACCTACAGCACTTCGAGGCAACAATGTGGGCTTTAAACTGCAGGGCTGGGGCTAACTTGAGGCATCTTGGTTCTGTATGTCGGCAACCTACAGCACTTGGAGGCAACAATGTGGGCTTTAAACTGCAGGGCTGGGGCTAACTTGAGGCATCTTGGTTCTGTATGTCGGCAACCTACAGCACTTGGAGGCAACAATGTGGGCTTTAAACTGCAGGGCTGGGGCTAACTAAGGCATCTTGGTTCTGTATGTCGGCAACCTACAGCACTTGGAGGCAACAATGTGGGCTTTAAACTGCAGGGCTGGGGCTAACTTGAGGCATCTTGGTTCTGTAGGTCGGCAACCTACAGCACTTGGAGGCAACAATGTGGGCTTTAAACTGCAGGGCTGGGGCTAACTTGAGGCATCTTGGTTCTGTAGGTCGGCAACCTACAGCACTTGGAGGCAACAATGTGGGCTTTAAACTGCAGGGCTGGGGCTAACTTCAGGCATCTTGGTTCTGTATGTTGGCAACCTACAGCACTTGGAGGCAACAATGTGGGCTTTAAACTGCAGGGCTGGGGCTAACTTGAGGCATCTTGGTTCTGTATGTCGGCAACCTACAGCACTTGGAGGCAACAATGTGGGCTTTAAACTGCAGGGCTGGGGCTAACTAAGGCATCTTGGTTCTGTATGTCGGCAACCTACAGCACTTGGAGGCAACAATGTGGGCTTTAAACTGCAGGGCTGGGGCTAACTTGAGGCATCTTGGTTCTGTATGTCGGTAACCTACAGCACTTGGAGGCAACAATGTGGGCTTTAAACTGCAGGGCTGGGACTAACTTCAGGCATCTTGGTTCTGTATGTCGGCAACCTACAGCACTTCGAGGCAACAATGTGGGCTTTAAACTGCAGGGCTGGGGCTAACTTGAGGCATCTTGGTTCTGTATGTCGGCAACCTACAGCACTTGGAGGCAACAATGTGGGCTTTAAACTGCAGGGCTGGGGCTAACTTCAGGCATCTTGGTTCTGTATGTCGGCAACCTACAGCACTTAGAGGCAACAATGTGGGCTTTAAACTGCAGGGCTGGGGCTAACTTGAGGCATCTTGGTTCTGTAGGTCGGCAACCTACAGCACTTGGAGGCAACAATGTGGGCTTTAAACTGCAGGGCTGGGGCTAACTTGAGGCATCTTGGTTCTGTATGTCGGCAACCTACAGCACTTGGAGGCAACAATGTGGGCTTTTAAACTGCAGGGCTGGGGCTAACTTGGGGCATCTTGGTTCTGTATGTCGGCAACCTACAGCACTTGGAGGCAACAATGTGGGCTTTAAACTGCAGGGCTGGGGCTAACTTCAGGCATCTTGGTTCTGTATGTTGGCAACCTACAGCACTTGGAGGCAACATGGGCTTTAAACTGCAGGGCTGGGGTCCGTACTTGCCTGAGTAGTAGCCCTGCCATTGGCGGGTCATGCTGTTCCAAAGATGCCATTCTTCTTGTGTTGCCATGTTGGCGTCCCATGTATTTTTTTATTTTTGGGGAAGAGAGCATTTTCAATCGGGCTCTGGTAGATGTCATCCAAATGATGTTGTCCTGTGACTCCGACTGCTCCCTGCCACCCGAAGGCCCCCAGCCATGCGTCAAAGACGGCTACCATAAGTGTACTGAGGAGACTGGACCCAAAAAAGGAATAAGGAATCAAAGGATAGTCTTATGGGAACTTCTACAAGAGGAACACCCTTGTGTTTAATTCCAACTATGGAGTGTTCTACGGATTTTCCCTTTAAACAACTCTGGGAACGTGGATTAAACATGATTAAACAACAAAATCCAAAATATTTCCATCAAACAAGTGTCTCCTTTCTTCAAGGATTTATCATGAACAGCCCTAGTCCATCCTCTTGTAAAACACATGTTGCCTAATCGCCTAATCGTAGGTGTTGGCTGCAATGCGGGGTTTCCTAAGCTACTCATGATTCATGGTGATGCTACACGATCATCAGAAAGGACAATGCCCCATTTAGTTCAATGATTTTCCTAGCGAACTAAACCTCCATGAATAGTTCGGGCTAGGATTTGATTGAGATGGCGCTCCATGGCTTTTTTTTGGGGATTTCATAAGATCCATGGGTACCCCAGATTCCTGGGTTTATTCGATTTACTTAAAGCAGTTGTCCCCAAGGAGTTGTCGCTATCATTGTTGGTTCAAGATGTGTTTCCGAATCTTAATCTTCACATCAATATCCATCAACGTATATCCATCAGTTATACCATCAGTGTATATCCATCAATATTTATGTTCGCATCAATTATACCTCATTCTCCATGTATACCCATCAGTACAGTTACGTCGCAGTTACAAGTTCTATGGCATACTTTCCGACATTTCTCAATTGCTGCCGAATAGGCTACACATGGGCCAAGTCCCTCGTAACTTGCAGTTCATTAACCCATTACAATCCCCATTAATCACCATTAAATCACCATATGTCCCCCTTTGTTCATTAAACATGGCAATGAACCACTTAGGTCGATGATGTTCCCAGTGAACTATAAACCTCCATTTTCGTACCAAGGCTTTACCGTACCATTGCCACTATTGATGACACCGGAGGGTACGTTGCAACTGTTGGGATGTTCATGATCCCAACGTTGAGTCTTTTATTTGTGACAACCACAAAAAAACATGCTTACAATGTGGGGTTTCCCAGTTCTAAGTTGGTTTATAACTCCCAGTAAGTATATCTATATTTGTAGGTATCATAAACCTTAGTTTTGGGACTTATGTTCACCAAGTATCTAGGGGGGCCCGCATTGTATGGTTGGTCTATTATGGAAAATCCAATTTTAAATGGATGATTTAGGGGTAGCCCCATAACTTAGGAAACCTCCATAGAATATAGAATAGTTTGTTATTAAATAATTGTTCCACTGTTGGATGTTTCTATAGTATTTTTCCAGTTTACTACTGGGATCTAAAAATCATTCCATTATACTTCCCCGACTTAAACAGAACGCCAAAAAAACGACGCTCGACGGTTCCGTTCCGGATGGGCCTGGAAGAAGGATTCGCGCGTGATGTTTTTAGGCCTTGGTGGCCCTGGTGAGAACCTGGTTACAATACCCCAAAAAATACCTGAGATGTGGGAAACCTAGCATACCTATTGTGTGTACTTGTGTATAACATATTTGATTGGGTTTCATCATTGATTTATACAATACCAATGAAATATGAATTGGAAAAAAGTAGTGAGCCTAATATGAACAAATCTAGCTGGATCATGCTGGATCTGTCTGAAAATCAAGTCTCTTCAAATCCGATGGTTGATAATCATCTTCCCCAAATTATTGAATGGCCACTTGCGTGGGATATGCAAACCATTTTCAAACAGTGTTAACCATCATTTCAGCTATGAAAACAATGGTTGATTTGCTATGAAATAGTGAATCAAAAACTACCCGACGGGTGATTGGGGACTAAGAACTAACTCATGGAGAACGGGAAATCGTTGTCAACCAAGTAGTATTTCATGAGATGGGAACACCAGGTATTCTAAATGCTTCATATGTCTTCATTGGGAATGTGGTAAAGCATGTTAACCATGGTAAAACTACAAAAATCATGGGAACATCACCTGGAATGCTATTTTTTTCAATTCCCAAAATCTCCCTCTAAAAACCATCATTAATTCCCAATCTCATTATTCCATATGGAATTCCGTCATTGGGAATACCTGGATGTTACCATGACCAATCCACCCAGCTCGTCCTGCCGATATCGCTGCCCCGTTGCGCCACGCAGAGGACGTCGATGTCGGAGCCGGGGCTGATGAGACCCAGCCTGGTGGCTTTTCGATGGGAATTTCCCATCGGATCTGCGGCGAAAACTTCCTTCCTTCCATGGAGGAACGATACGGTTAACATTAATGGTTAATCTATGGTCCTGGTTTTTGGTGAATATTTGATCATTCTGGTGAATCATAATGTGGGCCCCCCGTTTACGATAGCGTTCAGTTGCTGAACATAACTCCCATTTCACTATGGTTTATGATACCTATAACTATAGTATTCATGGGGTTTATAAACCAACTTATAACTGGGGGGGCTCACAATGTATGGAAAATCATCATTTTTCAATATTAGTGGGTTAATAGTGGGATGATAATGGGATGCAACCCACTATAACACACTATTAACCCACTATATTTGTAAATGAACTATTTGTATGGCCATTTTCATCCATTTTCAATGGCAAATATGGCAAACTGTTGCTGGTTAGTGGCTGACCTACCTGAAAATGATGGAATTCGTCAGTTGGGTTGAAGCCAATATGAAGGATATAACATGATATAACATGATATAACATGATATAACCCAATCCCTTACAAATTTCTGGATAATAACATATAATAACTTAACTATATTGATCCACCAAAATATGATTCCTTATTAATTGGATGATGAAATTCTCAACATATGGAAAAAAATGTTCAGATCCACCAAGCAGTGTCATCTTTGAGGTAACCAGGTGAAAATTACAGGTGTGTCTCAAAAGGTCCCAAAAAAAATCCCTTTATCTTTTTAAGTAGATCCTCGCTGTAACAAGCCATAGTTGAATTTTACTTTACTAGCGTTTTTTTGAAAATGAATGAAATCCATATAGAAGTTGATTTTAAAACCCTGGGATACGTAGCAATAGGGCTTAAATATGAGTCTTCCTACTATTGAAATAAGAACAGTATACTGTATAATCTTGAACCAGTCACCTGAGAAATGCTCAGATGATAATATCTCAGTTTCACACAACAGTTGACTGATGCAATTGGTTCACCTTAACAATTCATTGCGCCAACATGCCCCAACATCCTAAATTGGCAATATTGGGTGGATATTAGATGTTTTTGTTTTTGTTTACATAGATGGATTGTAAATCCACGTGTTGCATATGATTGGGTGAATATAGATTGCATTCTTCGTTATTTTTCCCAAACAAGTGAAAAACCCTTGAACATGCCACTGCTGATCCCTTGGACTTCGTGATGTTTTTTTTGGGCTCTGGTCGTCCTTCTCGGAAAGCAGCGACAACATGGCGAAGCTTCATAGCGCCGAGCTCAATCTGTGGACCAATTGGAGCTAATGGCCTTGCTTCAGTTGAGTTGTCATTTCTTCCGTCGAAATTGCTCAAACATCTCGTATCTACAGAATTCGGCAATGTTCAGACGCGGTGCCTGGACTTTGCTCAACATGGGCCCGCAAGCAAATCCTTCGGCTGTTTTCAGAATCGTCCGAACGGTCGATGTTTATACTGTGGATGGGCCAGCGAAATCCGAATCACCAGTTGGTTCAGGACGGTGGTAAACATCCCATGATTTCAACCAGCTTTCAACCATCCCAAATTGGCGGTGCAGAATGGCAGAATTTCGCTGGCCCATCCACAGTATGATGAAAAAACACCCCATGCCTCATTTTACCAAGCAGGAAGGCATCATGTGTATCCTAAGTTTTGATGCTCACAACCAACCTTGATGACTAATTAGTGGATACATTCCCATGAAGGAAGTGTCTCACTACTCATATGCTGATTTACGTCTATGTCTATATATACATGTCTATACCCAAATAGCGATTGTTCGTCATTTTTTTAATCAGTGCTTTGCTGCTTGCTGGACGATTTTTTCGCAAACTCAATCATCATCCTGATACTGGTCAATATAGATGTTCCCGGTTTCAACGGCGATATGACTATCCCCCCAACATGGTCAAATCCCAATTAAATCCGCGTTAAATCGGAAAATCCGCACAAATTTGAAGGATACCTGGTTGGTTAATTGGGATTTCTAGTTCGTGCAAGGTGGTGCCCCCCAAGTTATAGGTTGGTTTATAATCCCGGTTTATAATCCCATTTTACTATAGATATATCACCTATAAACCATAGTTATTGGAGCTATGAACCAACTTAGCTATCTAGGGAGCACCACCTTGTGGATGATGATACTTGTGTTGGGCTGGTGCAACACCCAAAAAGCCGCATGGACCAAGAGGGGTATCTTGCAGCCACTGCTCATGCGATTGTGATGATCAATGATACCCTATATATCATATGTAGAATATGTATATTATACATAGTTATATATATTATATCAGACTTTGTCCTCTATCCTTGTTAGGCCAAAAAGTTTGGGAACAACTTATGTAACAAATCACGTCGCAGAATTGGCACTGGGAAAAACTCATGTAACAACTCACGTCGCAGAATGGGCACTGGGAACAACTCATGTAACAACTCACGTCGCAGAATAGGCGCTGGGAACAAACCACGTAACAAACCACGTAACAAATCATATGGAGGAAAACCTTGGGAACAAACCATGTAACAAACCACGTCGAGGAAAGGGACTTGTAGGAAACACATCATGCAACAAATTTGGTATGGGGACGGGTTCAAGAAACAAATCATGTAGTGAGTATGGTGCGGGGAAAAGTGACAATGTAAAAAATAAACGCAGGTTGAAAATGACACTATCATATGTTGGTTGGGGCACTGTCTTTAGAGTGTTGAATTGACTGCACATATTTTGGTGGCATGTTGCGGGCCACGTTGTGGATTTGAACACTGTTGTAGTTGATGTTGTAAATGGTGCTTTAAATTTGGGCAATGTCGCGGCGTATGTTCACAGCTGGTGCTGTGAGTGATACTTTTATTCTGTACAATGTCGTAGTTGAAGTTGTAATTTGCGCCTGTCAAAGTTCACATGGCGAACGGTGATGTCGAATTTTGTGGCTCAATTTCTTCGGGAAACCATGTTGGCCATGATGGTGGCCGTCGGATGCTGCGTTTGTTTTGCCAATTTTGGCCATGTTGGAACTAACGTCGGCGGTTGGATGCTGCCTGTGTTGTGCAAACCGTGGCCCGCCTGCATTGGGTTTTGGTCGTTGATCTTGTGGTTGGTGTCGTGCTTGATGGCAATTGGCCATGCCAAAGCTGCTAAAATTCGGACGATTGACGTGATTGGTCCGGATGCTATGAGATAGGCACGTTTCTGAATAGGAACTGTGCATTGTGTTTCGTTGTATCCAAGGGGCCTGTGGGAAACTTTTTGAAAACGCTACAACCATAGTGCAGAGCACGCACAAACCTACATTGGAACGAAGGGCGGAGGAGGAGGAGGAGTGAGGCTGGAATCAGGCATGTATATGTTTCACGCTGTTGCAACTGATTTATTCAGTAATTCAAGCACTGCAGCACAGATAGCTTTTTACAACGCATGGTTGGGTGTACGGCTTAGGTTGGTTCCCCCAGGGCTGGTTCATGTAGGGATGATGAATTGAGTTCTCAATAAATGAAAGCGAGGAAACGTTGACACTAGTCTTTTTTTAACTAAAGATTTGCACAAACAACCAGAGTCGATATAAGTGGAAGCAATGCATAGCATGTTGACGCATTCGTTTCTGCTCTTCAATGCCTCACTTCCTCACATCTCTGGTGTTCGGTTTCCAACATTGTTATGCACAAATATGTTTACCTTGTAAGATCGCAGTTGTGGATGCGAGTTGAAATATAATAATACATGCATGATGATAAAGGTCTTATAAAAGTTTCCTGATGAATATGGATAATGATATTGGATCCTCGAAGTGCCTCCGAACGGTTCTGAACGGTTCAGGTGCTCCGCGCTTAAGGTGCCACCGAACGGTTCAGAACGGTTCCGGCGTTGCCGAACTATTTCGAACCATTTCGAACCATATCGAACTATTCAGCAAAGTGATGTTAGGTACCTCCGAACGGTTCTGAACGGTTCAGGCGCTTGTTTTTTTGCATGTGGAAAAACCTCTCAAATACCACAACATGAACGTGAGATTTTTCCATATCCATCAAGCTCTGGAAAGGAGATATAGATAAGGAAAAGAAAAGCACAAATCCAAGGAGAACCTCAAGATAGATATTTCCATTCATTTCCAAATTGGAAGCGCCCACATCAACGTAGACGTCAAGGCAAACATGATCGACAAGTTTGAAAGGTCAATGGTGGGCGTCACAAAAACCCATAAAGCAAGCGTGAGGGAGTGCCAGACCCATGTGAATTCAACCGGCATCAAAAGCTCAGCTACAGACAACATGCGTTGCGGAAACGGCAGGCCAGCCGGACATGATCTGAACACAACCCAAGGGAGAAAATCCAAACCAACCGGCTGGAACAGCCCCAACAAGGTCGAAACGACACGCCGCAAGCCCGGAACCGTTCGAGAACCGTTCGGGAACCGTTCGGAACCACATTTATGGGCACAAATTTTGAAAACCGCTAGCAATGCGAATTTGCACGATGGCATTTCAAAATTCCAGAAGATCTGGGTCACAGCGAGTGATGCTAGCGGCGATGTGGGACGTGATGCCCAAGCAAAAAAAAACAGCCGCATGAAGTTGGCTTCGGCGTGCTTCGAGGGCAACTTGTCCCACCTGGCAACCTGAACAGCCACCAACCGGCAGGCCGCGGATTGCAGGAAAGGCGGCCAGAAGTCACGAATTGCATCTCAGTCTCGCAGATGGCTTCCGATTAGATTTCAACATTTTCTCAGCAGCTTCCGGTGCAACATGCAAAAATCGAACACTGACTTTTCTAGCTGCAAGAAGATTGCAAGCGACCATTCTTTCACACCGATTTGCGGCGCATTGTGACAATGATAGGGCCAAAAAATACGCTGGCAATATTGTCACCTGCCTTGCTCACACTGAAGCCACTGGCGCGCGCCCCATATACGATATGGCACGAGCAGATTCAAGCAAGGGGGCTCTACAATAGGATGAGAACTGCGACTTGCAACAACGCAAATCACAACTGTAATTTGAGCTTGGTCTTCCACCAAGAACATGCAAGTCATCTGCCAACAGGAACAGGCACAAACCGCGCCGCCAGCTCACAAACTGAAATTAATCACGGGCCCTTACACGGAGTTGTGCACAACGCCCCTGCCTGTTGGGATTCAATCTTTGGGTCTGGGGGTGGGATGCAGAAAACCGGAACAGAACCCCCGAAGCTGCTGCTTTTGGGTGGAAGGACGGGTGCATGTTGTTGCGCGTGTCCCATGCTAATGATGGATGCTGGGATAACACATTTCCCTTTCAACTTTTTTTGTTTCGTGGTTGTAAGTTCAAAGAAATTCCCGTGTGCCACCTTGAGTTAACCATATCTATACCACCCATGGTATGTCAATCAAAAGGTGATCCGAACGCAAAGCTATGATTGACACCATGTTTTCTACGGTGAAACATTCGCTCAAAATAATATAATAATTCCTCGCTTGGAGAGCGGCTTATGAAATTCATGAGCACCAATGGTGGTCCGTCCATGGTCCTGGCCAAGCAATGGGCCCAAACATCAATATCAAAATATGTTTTCATTTTTACATCGTCACCCACCGTCACTTATATACATTATTGAAACAACAAACGCCAATGTTGCCAAAACTATCATCATGTCAGAATCTATCACATGATTGTCGTGCAATCTTCAGTACTGTTACATACAAGCTTTTGAGCGTTGCAGGTAGCAAACAACCATATGAAAATGATGCGCGGAAGGAACGACAACAGCAGCAGCAGCAGCAACCACAACAACAACAACAGCAGCAGCAGCAGCAGCAGCACCAGCAGCAGCAGCATGAGCATCAGCTTCACACGCCACCACCGCCGCCGCCGCCACCACCACCACCATCATCATCATCATCATGATCTACACCAACAACACAACAACACCAATGTGCCAATGGACCAGCTTAAAACGCCAGTAACTGCAACAACCCAAATATTTAAAAAAGTACATCTAAAACAAAAAATACACACACCAAACGAAATAATTCGACATGTTACCACAAAACAGGAAATGTCAAATCCAAAAACGTGAATGAATCATAGCATCAGCAACTTCGCGTCTATTTTGATACCATAGCATCAGTCAGAACGTCAACAGGAATAGTTCGGCCTCGAACAAAAAGGTTTTCAATCAGGCAAGTTGCTGAAAAGAAAAGCGATTACAGAACTATAAAGACAGAAAGGGCTAAGGAAACGTATGATGTAGGAGATATGCCTGCGGTTGGAAAGTTGAAAGAGTGGCGCAACCCCTTTGTGGGAACTGGAAACGATGCAGCAAGATATGCTCCATGATTCAATGATGTATTATCCAATGCGGTTGAAGCACACCCAGTTGCAAAGAAAAGAGAATGCCATGCTTGACCTGTCCTCAAACCAGGTGATTTGTTACGTGACTTCTTCCCAGCTTTGTTCCCGCAAATGTTGTTTTTCATAATTTGCGACGCCAACTGTAACATAGTTCTCAACCAAACTTTTCCTGAAAACAAGAACCCCTCATTATAGAGGACAAAGTCTGATATAATATATATATATATCCATCTTTTGGTGCTTAAAGTTCAACTTTATACTATTCTGGCAGCACTTTTGGTGCTTAAATCCACGTGTTGATGTGTTTTCCAACATAATCTCCCCTCATCAATGACCATTAAAACATCATTTTTGGCGCTTAAAATCTCATGTTCACGGGTGAAATCACAATTTTATATAATTTTATCCCATCGACCTAAGTTTTGATTATAGTTAAGGTGACATATTTCATTCTATCCCCATTGATGTCGAATCAGCTTGGTTAAGTCCCAGATTTTCTCACTATTTCCCACATGATTCTCCATTATTCTGGAAAAATATCACCATTCATCATTCCAAATAGTGAATACATCAACAGAGTAAGATCACTTCAGCAACAATCGTGGAGAAAGCGTCTTTTAAATAGGGGGCGTTCACCCAAATTTTCCCAATTTTCCCAAGGATTCTCCATGATTCCCCATAGAATCCCCTTGGGATGATCCGCAGTTCCACCAGGTGAGTCGGTAACCCGCTGAGAACTGGAAAAGCTCCATGGGTTTGCTGGAAAATTCCAGCGTTTTCTTCGATGATTTTCTCCATTCATGGTGGTTTAATGGTGGTTTACTGGGATTTAATGATGGTTTAATGGCAGTTACCCGGCCTGGTAAACGTTTACATAACGAACTGGAAAGATCCACCATGCTATCAATGGGTAAATCCACGATTTCTATGGCCATTTTCAGTAGCTATTTTGACATAACCAGAGGGTATTCCCCAGCCTCCATTGACATCCCAAACAGTTTATGGATATATAGGACAGTCTCCATTAAAATCCCAAAGAGAATGCTCCATTTGTCCCCACTATTCTGCATAGATGATCCATAGATTTACTAAGCTTAGATTTACTGGGCTTAGTGGTTAGTAGATGATAAACCCATTTACGAAGCATTTACTAAATGGATAAATTATCATTACCATTTCCATAGAAAATTATGAAAAAGTCGAGGTGAAGGAAACTGACCCCACCTGTAAGATCCGAAGGTGAAAATCTTGGCGCCCGCCCTCTGTGCCAAGTCTTCATCGCCCTGGCTGATGCACTCCTGGCGGCGCTGGAAAACGCGGAGGGTCAAATGGAGAAATCTATGGGAAATCTATGGAAATCTATGGAATATATAGAAAATCTATGTATGGAAAATCTAATCTATAGGATTGTGAACCACTTACTAAGTTGAATTTCTATGGAGAAATCTCTGGATAATTTGTGGGTACTCTCCTGTAAAGATACCAAAAAATGTGGAGAAGCCACTATTTATAACCATTGCTTTTCCACATTCAATGGGAATTCCAGCATCCTAAAGTGGAGGTACGTTAGCACCATATTTCAGGCCATATTTTGTGGGGATAGTCCCTTACATAGGCCTAAAAAATAGGCCTTATATATGGTAGGTACCTTCAATCAATCGGTTCCTGAGTCATGGCCATTGATACATGTTAGTTTTCCTCAGGGTAACCTATGGATCAATGCATGGACAAACTATGGATTCCATAGAAACTTTGAGGATCCCATTGTGCTTAGGTGCTTAGTAAACGCCTGGCTTAGTTTCCCAGAGATATTAACCACTAAGTGGAATATCTATGGGTAATCTACAGATAGTCTATGGATTCTGCTAAAGCCAAAAAAATGAAGTCACAACAAATGAGGATTTATGTGGCTTAAGAAACGATATATTGGGATAATGGTTGTATATATTGCCATTCATCAATGATGTGAAAAAAGGGGATTGACCATCACCAATGGAAAAGACATGAAAAAGGATTGGAACATATCGGGATGATCTATGGATGATCTAAGGATGAGCTTTGAAATTGGAACATGTTAATGGAATGATGAACATATCTTAAATTCTTGGGCAACTACATCGGGACAAAGATCAGGGGGAATGATCGCTCTACTCAAAACCATTATGCCTAAGTTGGAAAATACCTGAACATTAAATAAAATAAATGGATTGACACATTGTTCACTTAAACAATTGTTTATGGAACATCTTCAAATAAAACACAGCAGTGCAGTCACTAAAAAGTGTTTTATTTGCAACATGTGAATGCAAATAAAACACTGCGGATAAACACCTGGAGACATTGACACAGGAAATGACATTAACCGAGAAATACCCGGGGAACAAATCTCATCCGACTCCAAACCGTCGGAAAATAATCATACAAATACGGTGAGGTTGGCCAGGTAGGTCTCGACTTTGGTTAACAAACCCATGCACCTAACATTCACCTAACATTCACATTCACGGGTTACATGATGTTACATGGTTAAATCATGTTAAATCTACCCTTCAAAAATCTCATCTTTGCTGTGTAGCTTAATGACATTTAAGATCATTTAAGGACATTGGGCATCGAAATTGAGCCCATATGGAACTTTAACAAAAGCTTGATACATCGTGGCAGAAAATCCCTAGACAAAGTCTTGTCCCAAAGTGCCACCATTTTTTCAGGGATTTTCCAGGTATCCCCATGGTTTTTCAAAACCCTATGAAAATCGCCCCGGCCTCCTGGACCCATTGTTGACAGATCCGCTTCAATTCGATCAAGACTTCGGCACGGAAACGCATCTTCTCCTGGCGAGACCCAAGTTTTACTGCATGATGTGCGTTTCTTCCAACAGAAATTGGAAGTCAATAAAAGTAAAACGTATTAAAACGTGTCATTGAAACTATCAAACATATTTTTTTCAAACTACAGTGAGGTGTAAAGTCAACCATTATATATATTATATATACACGGATGTATTGTGTCAATATTGTGGACTATATAATCATCATGATTATCCAATATGGGTGTAGCATTTCAACCCACCAAAATGACACATTTCTTGCACTAAGGTAAAAGATCCCTACACCGTTTTTCCCCACAAACAGTGTGCCAAAACTCTCTCGTTCAAGCGAAAATCGTCCGTAAGGCCAGGGCAAACTGGAAAAAGTCCAGAACACCGTTGATATTCCTGCAATCCACTTGATTTATCAGATTTGGAAATTTGATTTCCCATAGCTATGTTCGTTTTCCAGAGGGTAACTAATATACTACGTTCATCACCTACAATGAATCTCACCTAAATGAAAAATCATGTATCTGTGTGACATTAATCATTATCCAATTTATACATGTTAGTTCATGGATGATAATAAACATATATGTACATATATATATATATATGAGCAATCTCGAACACCCTAGGTTCACGGAAAGGACATCCACAAATTTGGGAAGGTCCCATCGCTTACCACACGTTTGTACAATAATGATATATGGTAAACTTGGGGGGTATCGCTTGCAGGAAACTGCTACATTTATATATATATGTATATATAATTCACAGAAATCAACGTCCAATTTGGGTATCGCTAATGTGTACATTAGAGAAATACAATGACATAACCTTGAAAAGGGGTATCGCTAATTTGGGAAAGGTCCCATCGCTTACCGTGTGTTTTTAACAATTTCCATCAATTTCCATAAACCAATGTCCGTCCAATACATACTTAGTATTGCCGGGTTTTTTGCGGTGGCTCATATGTATAAATATATATGTATATATGCAAGTATCGTATTAATGTTCCGTTACTCAACATTAAATACACTATTCCAAACATCTATCCGTTTCTACAAATCCCTATTATGGTAAATGTTCTATGTAAATTAAATGACGGTGTGGCAAGTTTCATACTATTTATCATAACTTCATTGTAAAATAACCACCAAAAACATGTGTTTTCAAGCTTGTCCACGATGTTATAACCAAGTTTTACTTCATATTTCGCAGGCTTCCCACTTTTCTATCTATTCTGGGGTTGCTATAAAATGGTAAATAGCATATCCATGTCTGGACATATCCGTATATAATTCACTCATCTGAAACTTACAGTGATTTTAAGGGATATTTATGGATATTTACACATTTGCACCTAGCATTTTGCTAGTTAAGTCTGATAGTCAGATTTTTATGTTGGCTATTGTTGGCTATTGTTGGCTCCATCAGATCCTCATATGTGAAGAACTACCGCCCCACAGTTCTCGTGGCGGAAAAAGGCCTCTGTCTCCAAGGGTGCGTCGCTTTTCATCTCCTGGGTGAAATCAACAGAATCTGCGACCAAAAATTCGTGGCGCAAACAAGAATGTTACCCTTTGGTTATTTAATGGGATTTAATGGTGGTTCAATGGTTATTTAATGGGATTTAATGGTGGTTCAATGGTTGTTTAATGGGATTTAATGGGAGTTACCCTCTGGTTATGACTAACATAGCCATGGAAAATCACCATTTTTTTTACCGTAAACCATCTATAAATGGACAATCTATACCATGGCAAACTGTTTGTTAAATAACAAGAGGGTAAAATTTCTGTTATCACTTAACTTTTTGTTATGAAAATTACCAGAATCTGGTTATATTTCGGGCTGATGACTTAGGACTTAGGCCACCATAGTGACATAGGATTTTGTGCACCAAGTCCTAAGTCACTGGTGTTCTTACCAGGTGATTTGTGTGCACCAAGTCCTAAGTCACTGGGGTTGTGATTGGACTCATGCACTTTTTAGGGTAAAAAAAAATCTCTTAATAAGTCATCAGAACCTACATACATTACATTACAGTACAGCACATTACATCACTACATTACAGTAAAGCACAGTACATTACATTGCGCTACAGTACATTACATTACATTACATTACAGCACATTACAGTACATTACATTATATACATACATGCACACGACTTGGTGCACAAAATTGTATGTAACCACAGGGGCACAAGTCCTACGTCATCAGAACCTACATACTTACATTGCAGTACAGTACATTACATTACACTACAGTACAGTACATTACATTACACTACAGTACATTACATTACAGTACATACCTGCACAGGACTTGGTGCACAAAATCGTATGTCACCAGAGGGGCACAAGTCCGAAGTCATCAGAACGTACATACATATATTACATTACATTACAGTACAATGCATGAAAGTACGTTAAAAAAATACGTGTATAAATAAATATATATATATATATATTAAATTTAAACAGAAAGAATAAATATCAACATATATTTCAAAAATATTTCAAAAATGAAAAATCAAAAAAATATTTATATTGTTTAATTTATTTAATTGCTTTAAAAATAATATCTGTATATAAATCGAAGGAAAACATGAAAATCACAGATTTTTCAAGATGGGCACAAGTCCTAAGTCATCAGAACCTACATACTTACATCACACTACAGTAAAGTACAGTACATGACATTACACTACAGTACATTACATTACAGTAAAGTACAGTACATTACATTACATACATGCACACGACTTGGTGCACAAAATTGTATGTAACCACAGGGGCACAAGTCCTACGTCATCAGAACCTACATACTTACATTGCAGTACAGTACAATACATTACGTTACACTACAGTACATTACATTACATTACAGTAAAGTACAGTACATTACATTACACTACAGTACATTACATTACAGTACAATACATTACAGCACATTACATTACATACATGCAAAGGACTTGGTGCACAAAATCGTATGTCACCAGAGGGGCACAAGTCCTATGTCATCATAGTCTTACGAGTGGTCCATGCCCCTCTCAGCAAATCAAAAAAGAATCAAACATAGTTTCTAATCTCATACGGACACCTGATGAGTTGGGACTTGTCCAGGGGGGGTCCGACGCATGATGAGATAGGACTTGGCCACCCCGGGGTATCTTTCACAAGTCCTAAGTCACTTGCTCGAAATATAATGATATCAGTTTGTTGTTAAACCATAAAAAAGTGATTTAATTGATAACAACAACTGGGTGGGGAATTTCAAGCAAAGTTGAGACGTTAAACATACCTTTGCTGATGCCGCGTTAAACTCTAGCAGGTAATACCAGCTGCCGTTTGGGGGAATATGAACTAACATGAACTAACCCATAATTTGTTCAAACCAACACTTGGGAGGGTTGAAACCAACAAGTGGATAGTGGTTTCAAGCATTTTAAGCCCCTATGCCAGGTACTGTATATAGCTGTGTCTGAAAATGGGGTGCTATGATGGCAGGATAAGCCTGAACTCCGCTGCTGCGTCGCCGAACTTTGTGGCCAGGTATGATGAGGCCCACTTGGGACCGAGTTCTGGCCAAATCATCATGAAGGCGCGTCATCCTTTCTTCTAATTGATGCACATAGTTGGCTTGGTGCCCGAGGTAGTCGATCAGGTCGCTTGGCGGGAGCATCGTCACCGTCAATGGGACATCCCTGTCCAAGTCAGCATTGGCCCCGTCGGGCCGCAGGTCAAAGACGAGGTCGCTGTCATGCGTGCTGGATTTGACCAAATCATAGAGGCGCCTGCTGCACAGCACGAACATGTATCATCATGTATCTGCAATCCTGTTCTACCTGATCTTCCAGATCGTCTGGTGGAAAGCTGATGCCGCCAAGTGAGATTGACAGCAAGGTATCACCGATCAGGTTCCAGTGGTGCACGAAGTCAGGTTCCAGTGGTACACGAAGGAAAAATGATGACACGCATATATACAGTACCATTTGGGGCACCATTTTGTCTAAAATTTTGACACACCTATACAGTACCAAAAGATGACAAACCAATTCATTCTACGGTAGTCAATTGGGATCATCAAGGCAGAATGGAAAACAAAACATCGATGAAACTACCATCCAAACAAAGAAAGATGGGGATTTCAACGTACAGATCCACATCAGAAGCGTTTGCTTGCATTTTTTAATCATAAATCGTTTGTTCCCAGCTTGTTTTGTTGGTTTAAGCTGGTTTTGCTTTGCCTTGAGTCTTGTTCTTTGTCCATTGGTGGTTAAGCATGAGTAGATGGTTTCTATGCTGCCAATCAATGAACATTTCACCGTTCCACTGCGTGTTTGGCGAATTGAGAAACTTATCGCCGGAAGACCGTTTTCGTCATATTCCTCCATCAACATGACCAAATATGACCACATATTAGCCCTTCCCCAACCATTCACCAGTCTTACCCAGATTTGGTGTCGAAAATCCTGCACTGGAAACCAGCTACCCACAAGGTGATGCCCCCCAGTTGTGTGTTGTTCGTTTATAACCCTCATTAACTGTTTGATACATCTGTTTGATTACCAGTAGTACCCGCACGAGGCGGGGCGGAAGTTGCCTTAAAGATATATATGAGACCTTTCTCATCTATAGAACTTGCATGCGCCGTGCGCCAGCCAAGCCCGTGCGTGCGTGCACTCTGCGAGTTGCAATTCCAGGCGCGCGGAGACCCACATGGCAAACCCTGAGCATCCGATATTGATTACAATCAATATCTGAAAACCAATATTGATTTTTAAGGGAAATCAATATTTAATATTGATTTTAGGGGTTTCTAAAATCAATATTTTTTCATAGGTTTTTGGGGACAAAAATCAATATTGAAAATCAACATTTTTTGTGAATATTTTCATCATTTTTGGGGTCCCTTTGCACAACCAGGACCTGCAGCCCACCCCTCCAAGCCCTTCTATTTTTTCCATTGCTGTGGCATGTATCCAAGGCTTCCCTTTTTTACAAAGGGTTGTGCTGCCTGTTTTGCTTTGAAAAACATTGAAAGCCTGAGCCTTTTTTCAAAGGATATTCATACCCTTTTTCCAAAGGCTGACCTGACCTTTTTCCCAAAGGATTCATGCTTCCATGCAGAAACCTTGCCTGGTCAGAACAAGATGAAGTAAAATGGAATACTTGGGCAAAACTTTGGTGCTGAGCTTGGTGGATGCCACACCATGTGTGCAGCTGTGGGCCATTTTTGCAATGGCTCCCACAAAGTCTTCAGATTTGAAGCACCAATGAAATTTGGGGTTCATGTGGTATGCCCCCAAGCACAGGTGAATGAAGCTGTGGTGCTTGTACACTATATTGTACAGCATTCGGTTTTGCTCTTTGGCCCAGTTGTGCAGGCTGGTGTACTCTTGACAGAAGCTATTGCAAAGGCTCATTGTCAGTTCAAACTCTGCTTCTGTCAAGAATGTGTTTGCACCATCCCACAGGCATTGGAGCTGCACAACCGACTCCATGCATGCAACCATGGTTGCATGGATCTCCCTGTCTCCTGGAAGCATCTTCTTCATCACTGCAAGGAGAGCTGGGGCAAGGTGCTTGCACTCACCTCCCTTGGCACCCAAGAAGGCATAGTCCTGGTGAGGCTTTTGTTCATTTGTGAACATGCTGAGCCTCAAGTTGGTCAGCTCTGTGCCAGCACCTTGCTGCTTGTACATTTTTTGCACATGTAAAAAGATCAGTGCCAGCCTTTCCTTCGGTTTGATTGTTTGGGCACAACCTATTGGGTCATACCAGCACATGTAATGAAGGCATGACCCCAACAGGTGGGCATATATGCCCTTGGTGAACAGGATGTGCAGCCCATCCCCCCTCACCATCCTGGAAGTCACACCACCAATACTGAATATTGGGTGGCTGGATTTGGGGCTTGCCCTGGCCATGTCACTGTCAACATGGTTGAAAGCTGCTGCATCCAGCATGGTGTAGGGAAGGACACCATCTTTGCTGGTGCAGTTGCATTGGTGACATGGCCTTTTGGAGGCCCAGTGTGGCAGCTTCAGCACATTGCTGAAGTACTCCTGGTCACCAATGATACACCAGATGGCTGCACAGAAGCCACCAGGCACCAAAGGCTTCCCCCTCATGGGGTAAAAAGGGGACCCTTTTTCCAAGGGTTCACCCCAGCAATCCTTACTGGGATGCATGCCTTTTTGCAAGGCATCAAAGCTCCATGCAAAGTATTGCCACAAGGGTTCCCAAGTGTGTGCTGTTGTGGCGCTTTTTGGGAAAACACCCATGAGGAGGTGGGAGTCCAAGCTTGAAAACAAATTCAAGATGCTCCCAAAGCTGAAGATGAGCAATGTGTCTCTGCTCTGAAACTCTGCACCATCCCCATGCACAAACAAGGGTATGGTTGTGCACCTCCACTGGCTCCTTTTTTTCAAAGGATGCTTCTTTAGCCTATCATCCTTTCTGCTTTCAACTTCCACCCAGAATTCCTCTAGTTTCTCTGTGCAAAAGA